TTTCTACATTATTTCTACATTATTTCTACATTATTTCATTTGAAATTTCAAATATTTTGTTAAGTTGTGATACTCTCTTAATTATAATTAATTATCTATAAGGCATGTAATGTTGAATCCAATATTCTGTATATACAAGTAGGTATATTTGACTATGTTCAGATTTTCCATAACTTTTTTTAAAGATTTTATTTATTTGAGAGAGAGAGAGAGAGAACATAAGTGGCAGGGAGGGAGAAGCAGGTTTCCCACTGAGCAGGGAGCCTGATGTGGGGCTCTATCCCAGGACCCTGGGATCATGACCTGAGCCGAAGACAGATCCTTAATCAGCTGAGCCACCCAGGCCCCAAATTTTCAATATCTTTTATGATAGTTTTAGTTTACATTTGTATCCACTATCAAAAGAGAAATTTTTAAATCCCTACTCTGGATTTTTCCTTCTTTTTTAAGACTTGTAGTTTCTGGGGCCCCTGCATGGCTCACTCAGTTAAGCATTCAATTCTTCATTTTGGCTCAGATCATGATCTCAGGGTCATGACATTGAGCCCTGATAGTCTCCACATGTAGCGGGAAGTCTGCTTGAGATTCTCTCTCCCTCTTCCTCTGTCCCTCCCCCCTACTTTCTCTCTCTCTCTCCCTCAAATAAATAGTTCTTAAAAAAAAATAAAGACTTGCAGTTTTTTCTTTACATTATTTGAGGCTACATCTCTAGGTGCAAGCAAATTTGGAATCATTATAGCTCCTGATAGAGCAAATCATTATTTCTAATAATGCTTCTTACTTTATTGTTTGCTTTGTCTGATATTATTATAGTCATCACCTTTCTTTCTGGCTAGTGTTTGCTTGTTATATCCTTTTCCATTCCTTTTTTTTTTTTTAACATCTCCTTTTATATCTAAGGTGAACCTCTTTTAAGCAGAATCTCTCTTTTTTGGGGTATTTTGCATTTTTGGTTAAATTCAATTTGAGAATTGCCTTTTAATTATTTAGTATGATTACATTCACTGTAACTTCTCATATTTTAGGTTTTAAGTGCTACCTTACTATTTTCTATTTGTTCCTTTTGCTGTATGTTCTCTTTCCTCGCCTCTTGGCTTTAAGATTACAAATTTTTTTGGTTAATAATTCTATATATTCTTTCTGCTAATGTGTTGTTTTTACATGTTTTCTTCCTTCAGTGGTTACCATATAGATTTCAAAATGCATCCTTGACATATTAAAGTTTAATGTAAGTTACTACTTTTATTGCATATATATTACTGTTTTATATATCGATATTTAGGTGGGCTTACTCACATATTCATTTTTTTATAAATTTATTTTTTATTGGTGTTCAATTTGCCAACATATAAAATAACACCCAGTGTTCATCCCATCAAGTGCCCCCCTCAGTGCCCGTCACCCAGTCACCCCCACCCCCTGCCCACCTCCCCTTCCACCACCCCTAGTTCGTTTCCCAGAGTTAGGAGTCTCTCATGTTCTGTCTCCCTTTCTGATATTTCCCACTCATTTTTTCTCCTTTTCCCTTTATTCCCTTTCACTATTTTTTATATTCCCCAAATGAATGAGACCATATAATGTTTGCCTTCTCCAATTGACTTATTTCACTCAGCCCTGCTGGGGATTTACCCCAAAGATACAGATGCAATGAAATGCCGGGACACCTGCACCCCGATGTTTATAGCATTAGACACATATTCATTTTTTCTTTCTTTTTCATCATTTCCTGCTCCTCTTAGTTGCCTCTAAGAATGCCTTTTGGCATTTCTTTTAGTGTGAATTTTGAAAGTATCTTTATTTTGGTTTTATTTGTTAAGAATAGTCTTAGGTTGTAGAGTTCTTGTTGGAATTATGTTCTTTTAGCACTTTACAGATATTATTTTACCATCTCTTAGCTTCCTTAGTTCATTTTGTGGAGTCAGTCTGAAGTCTTCACTGGCATTGTTTAGTAGAAGGAAATACTTCTTTTATTCATTCCTCTTCCCCCCATTTTTTTTCTTTACTTTTATGGGATTTTACTAAGATGGATCTCAGAATTTATGCTATTTGTGGTTTCAGGACTTCTTGCATTTCTGACTTGATATTATTTGTCAGTTTTAGAAAAATTTCAGTAATTATCTCTTCAAATATTTGTTCTGCTCCATTTATTTTATTTCTTCCCTCTTTCTAATGATTTTATTACACATTAAACATAGTCATATGCTTATGTCTTATATGATTTTTTTATTTCCATATTTTTCTCCATATGTTTCAGTCTGCATAATTTCTTTTTTTAAATATTTTATTTATTTATTCATGAGAGACGCAGAGCGAGAGAGAGAGAGGCAGAGACACAGGCAGAGGGAGGAGCAGGCTCTATGCAGGGAGCCCAATGTGGGATTTGATCCCGGGACTCCAGGATCATGCCCTGGGCCAAAGACAGGCGCCCAACCACTGAGCCACCCAGGGATCCCCTGCATAATTTATTTTGATTTAACTCTTAGTTCAGTAATCTTTGTTGTGTATAATTTGTCATTAAACCAATTTATTTTTTTAAAATTTTCAATTTTTCTTTGTATGATATTCAGTCTATGTTGATATTTTCCTCCTTTTAATTTCTTGAACTATATGAATAATTGTAATTTTAAAGTTCATATTTGGATTCCCTATGTCTATTTCAACTACCATTTTTTTCCCCTTTGGTTTTTGGTCAGGTCTTTTTAAATCCCTTGTTATTTCTGTTTTATGTGTGAACATTGCTGGTTTAAAAAAAATTCTAGCAATAATTTGAGTCTCTAGGTAATGTTATTTTCCTCCAGAGAGGGTTTTATCTTACATCTTGTTCACTAAGTTAGTAGCATCCAAATAACTTAAATTCATTTAGGGATTGAGTTGGTTCATAGCTGGCTTTTATTCCTTTTGATGGATGAGCTATTTCTGGTTTCCCTTACTTCTTGGGATCACAATTGAAAGACTGAGGTACTTATCAGAACCCCTTCTACTTTGCTGTTTTGCGATTCTGTCTTCTTCTGCCCCGAGACTCTGCCAAAAGCCTTGTTAAATTTTTCAGTAGCAACTGTCATAATTGACAAGTGTCTTGAGAATAAATGCAGTGCCAAGTTTTTTGTGTCCATTTTCTAAAGGCCAGGGCTTTTGTCTTCTGACCTAGTGCGTTGTGTTTTTTTTAGTTTTTTTTTAAGATTTTTTTTTTTTTTAATTCAGGAGAGACACACAGAGAGAGAGGCAGAGACACAGGCAGAGGGAGAATCAGGCGACGCGGGACTCTATCCTTGGTCCCCAGAATCACACTCTGGGCTGAAGGTGGTGCTAAACCACTGCGCCACCCAGGCTGCCCCCTATTGTGGTTTAACACTGCAAATACCTCCAGGGTGTCAGTTTAACTTTCTGGTTTCTAACATCCTCTTTGTTTCTAATTTCTATGTTTTTATTTTGTTTTGTTATAATTTTCTACAAGTTTACATATGAGTTTAAAAACGTGTTATTTTGGGATCCCTGGGTGGCTCAGCGGTTGAGTATCTGCCTTCACCTCAGGGCGTGATCCTGGAGTCTTGTGAGTAAGTCCCACATCGGGCTCTTTGCGTGGAGCCTACTTCTCCCTCTGCCTATGTCTCTGCCTCTTTCTATTTATTTATTAAGTAAATAAATAAATAAATAAAATCTTTTTAAAAAATAAATAAAACCATGTTATTTTTTTTCCGTGTTATTTTTTTATCCAGCATTTATACTACATTTTTGTATTAGAAAGTTTTTGAATTTCTTTTGTGTGGATATTTTTTTAATATCTAGTCTTCCATAGTCTGGATTTTATTTTTTCACCTATTCAGCTGCATTTATTTAGAACCAGAATATACTTTACTTTCATAGCTTTCTATCTTTTTTGTGTGCTATCACTGAAGGTGTTACCAAACCATACAAATATTTTCTGTGGGACCTATATACTATTTAATAAACATTTTAAAGCATTGACTATATAACTGGGACATGTTCTAATTTCTAGGAGTAAGATAAGTAATATATCATCCTTCCCTTAGTTAGTTGAGAGTGTATATTTTCTTCTACAATATTCATCTCAAAGGACTTTCCAAAGATACTGAGATCCTTGGAATCTATTATTCTTCAATAGTAATATTTGAATATATTTTTTAAAATAATGGTTTTTATATGGCAATAGGGAGCCAAACACGCACTCTAAACTATATATGGTGTAATAGACTATCTTTTAAGAAGCTTGCAGTGGAAGCAGTGTTCTCAGAAAAGAGAATGAAAAAAAAAAGAGAATGATTCCAGTTAAAGCAAGAAGATAGAGGGAACATTTAACAAAGAACTAAAAACTATGTGAGAGTTTGCTGATTACAGAGCAGGAGTTCCAGAGAGCAAATGAAAGGGCTTAGGATAGGATAATAGAGGTGTCAAGGCAGACTGAATGTCATACTTGACTAGTATGATCTGGTCAAAATGGTTGGTTAGGGTAAGGATAGATGACATTTGGTGTTAAAATGAGAAATAAAATAAATTCGGTCTTAGGTGTCTTCTGAGGAGGGTGAGTTCTTGGCCTAATGGTCAACAGACTTAAAAAAAACACAATGTGGACTGAAGTCAGGGGTAAAAATCATCCCTAAGTCTCTTTTCAGCAGTAATGGCCTAAGATGCTGGCAGTTGTGGGGACTGGTGGGTTTTTCCACATGCATGCAATGTCTGATAAATATCCTTTTTTTAAAAAAAGATTTTATTCATTTATTCATGAGAGAGAGAGAGAGAGAGAGAGAGAGAGAGAGAGAAAGGCAGAGACACAGGCAGAGGGAGAAGCAGGCTCCATGCAGGAGCCCCGATGCGGGACCCAATCCCGTGACTCCAGGATCAAGCCCCAGGCTGAAGGCAGGCACCAAACCGCCGAGCCACCCAGGGATCCCCTGATAAATATCCTTTTTAATTTGTGCCTTCTTATTCTCTGAAATGTTCTTTATAACAGGGTGTTACCTAACTTCATGATTTTTCATTAGATTTTGCAGTGGAAATTGTCAGAGAACCAAAGGTGCTTTCACCCTCATATAGGAAAATGTCTTTCTTCAGAAAGACTGGTGTAAGGAAGCCCTCGTTAAGACCCAGGTAAGACATAGGATCTAGCTACAGCAATGGTCTCTAGACACAAGCTCTCTTTAATCTCAACATGTTTAATGCTGAAATTATCTTTCTGTGTTTGGGCTTTTTACTTCTTTCCATATATCACATACATACACACAGGCACACTTTGTATTTTATTTTTAATTATTTTAACTTCAGTGAATATATAGTGTGCAATATTGGTTTCTGGAGTAGAATTCAGTGATTCATCACTTACATAAGTGTGCTCATCACAAGTGCTCTCTTTAATATCCATCACCCATCTAGCCCATCCCCCACCCACCTCCCTCCATCAAAGGGTTGATTTCTTTCTCCTCTTTCTCCTTGTATTTTTCCCCTTTCTCCTCTTATTTTTCCCCTTCCCATTGTTTATCTGTTTTCTTTCTTAAATTTCACAGATGAGTGAGATTATATGATATTTGTCCTTCTCTGACTTATTTCACTGAGTATATTATACTCTCTAGTTCTATCCACATCATTGTGAATGGCAAGATTTTTTTTGATGCTAAGTAATAATATATATATATATATATATATATATGTATACTCACATCTTTATCCATTTATTACTTGATGGACATATGGGCTCTCTCCATAGTTTGGCAATTGTTAATAATGCTGCTATACATATCAGGGTGCATATATCCCATTTGAATCTGTATTTCTGTATCCTTTGGGTAAATACCTACTACTACAATTGCTGGATCATAGGGTAGCTCTATTTTTAACTTTTTGAAGAACCTCCATACTGTTTTCCAGAGTGGCTGTACCCATTTGCGTTCCCAACAAAAGTGTAAGAGGATTCCCATTTCTCTTCATCCTCACCAGTACCTGTTATTTCTTATGTTGTTCATTTTAGCCATTCTACAGCTGTGAGGTGGTATCACATCATGGTTTTTATTTGTATTTCCCTGATGTATTTCCCTGATGATGACTGATGTTGAGCATCTTTTTATGTGTCTTGTCAGCCATTGGATGTCTTTTTTTTTTTTGTATATTTTTTTACTGGAGTTAAATTTGTCAACATATAGCATAACAGCCAGCGCTCATCCCATCAAGTGCCCCCCTCAGTGCCCATCCCCAGTCACCCAACCCCCCGCCCACCTCCCTTTCCACCACCCCTTGTTCGTCTTCTTTGGAAAAGTGTCTATTTATGTCTTCTTCCCATTTCTTAACTAGATTTTTTGTTTTTTGGGTGTTGAGTTTGGTAAGTTCTTTATAGATTTTTGGATACTAACGCTTTATCAGATATGTCATTTGCAAATATCTTCTACCATTCCGTAGGCTGCCTTTTAGTTTTGTTGATTGTTTCCTTTGCAGTGCAAAAGGAAACAATCCTGATGAAGTCCCAGTAGTTCAATTTTGATTTTGTTTCCCTTGCCTCTGGCAACTTGTCTAGTAAAACATTACTATGTCTGAGGTCAAAGAGGCTGCTGCCTGTGTTCACCTCTAGGATTGTGATGGTTTCCTGTCTCATATTTAGATCTTTCATCCATTTTGAATTTATCTTTATGTATGGTGTAAGAAATGGTCCAGCTTCATTCTTCTGCATGTTGCTGTCCAGTTTTCCCAACACTATTTGTTGAGCAGACTGTGTTTTTCCATTGGATATTGTCAATGGATTAGGTGACCTGCATTGTCAAAGATTAGGTGACCATATAGTTGTGGATCCATTTCTGGGTTTTCTATTCAGTTCCCTTGATCTATGTGTCCATTTTTGTGCCAGTACCATACTATCTACCATACAGCTTTGTAATATAGCTTGAAATCTGGAATTGTGATGCTTCTAGTTTTGTTTTTCTTTTTCAGGATTGCTTTTGCTATTTGGGGTTTTGTGGTTCCATACAAATTTTAGGATTGTTTGTTCTATCCCTGTGGAAAATATTGGTGATATTATTATAGGGATTGTATTAAATATGTAGACTGCTTTGGGTAGTATAGACCTTTTGGCAATGTTTGTTCTAATCCATGAGCATGGAATTTTTTTCCATTTTTTTGTGTCCTCTTCAATTTCTTTTATAAGTGATCTGTAGTTTTCAGAGTACAGATCTTTTATCTCTTTAATTAGTTTTTTTCCTACGTATCTTACTGTTTTTGATACAATTGCAATGGTATTGATTCCTTGATTTCTTTTTCTGCCACTTCATTATTGGTGTATAGAAATACAACAGATTTCTGTATTGATCTTGTATCCTACAATATTGCTGAATTCATGTATTAGTTCTAGAAATTTTTTTGGTGGAGTCTTTTGGGTTTTCTACATAGAGTATGATGTCATATGCATATAATAAAAGTCCGAATTCTTCCTCTCTAATTTGGGTGCCTTTTATTTCTTTCTGTTGTCTGATTACTGAGGCTAAGATTTCCAATACTATGTTAAATAGTAATGGTGAGAGTGGACATCATTGTCATGTACCTGACCATAAGGCAAAGTCTCAGAGTTTTTCCCCATTGAGAATTATATTAGCTGTGAATCTTTTTATATGACCTTATGATGTTGAGGTATGTTCCATCTATCCCAACTTTCTTGAGGGTTTTTATCAAGAATAGATGTTATGTCAAATATTTCTGCATCTATTGACAGGATCATATGGTTCTTATTCTGTTATTAATGTGGTATATCACATTGATTGACTTATGAATATTGAACCACCTTTACATCCCAGGAATAATTCCCACTTGATTGTGGTGAATAATTTTTTAATGTATTGTTGAATTATATTGGCTAGTATTTTATTGAGAATTTTTTCATCCATGTTCAGCAGGGATATTGGCCTGTAATTCTCCTTTTTTAGTGGGGTCCTTGTCTGATTTTGGAATCAAGGTAATGCTGGCTTCATAAAATGAGTTTGGAAGTTTTTCTTACATTTCTATTTTTTTGGAACAGTTTGAAAATATGTATTAACTCTTCTTTAAATATCTGGTAGACTTCCTCTGGGAATCCATCTGGCCCAGGACTTTTGTTTGTTGGGAGATTTTTGATTATCGATTCAATTTCTTTACTGGTTATGGGTCTGTCAAAATTTCCCATTTCTTCCTGCTTCAGTTTTGGTAGTTTGTAGGTTTCTAAGAATTCGCCCATTCCTTCCAAGTTGACTCATCTGTTGACATATAATTTTTCATAGTTTTGTCTTATAATTGTTTGTATTTCTGTGATATTGGTTGTGATCTCTCTTCTCTTTCATTCATGATTTTATCTATTTAAATCCTTTCTCTTTTCCTTCTGATAGGTCTGGCTAGGGGCTTATCAATTAGTATTAACTAATTCTTTTGAAGAACCAGGTCATAATTTCATTAATCCATTCTACTGGGTTTTTGTTTGTTTCTATATTATTTATTTCTGTTCTAATCTTTATAATTTCCCTTGTCCTGCTAGTTTTAGGCTTTATTTGCTGTTTCTTTTCTAGATCCTTTAGGTGTAAGGTTAGGATGTGCATTTGAGACTTTTCTTGCTTCTTGAGGTAGGCCCATATTGCAATATATTTCCCCCTCTTAGGACTGCCTTTCCTGAATCCCAAAGGTTATGGACTGTCATGTTTTCATTTTGTTTCCATGTATTTTTTTTTACTTCTTCTTTAATTTTCTGGTTAACCCATTCATTCTTTAATAGGATGTTCTTTAACCTCCACGTATTTGAGTTTTTTCCAAATTTTTTCTTGTGGTTGACTTCAGGTTTCATAGCACTGTGGTCCAAAAATATTCATGGTATGGTCTCATCTCTTTGTTCTTGTTGAGAGCTGATTGTGACCCAGTATGTGATCTGTTCTGGAGAGTGTTCCATGTGTACTCAAAAAGAATGTGTATCCAGCTAGATATAAAAAATGTATTATAGCGTTACTAAGTGGGATTTATCCCAGGAATGCACAGTTGCTCAAACACCCAAAAATCAATTAGTACAATATGCCATATGAATAAAATAAGGGGGGAACTCCACATGATTATTTCAATTGATGAATAAAAATCATTTTACAAAATCCATCACCCATTCATGATAAAAATTTTCAGTAAAATTAAAATAGAAGGGTACCCTCTTATTTGAATAAAGGTCATTTATTAAAAAAACTTAGAGCTAACATCATATTTAATGAGATAGTTATATAAAGGAGGGAGAATAAGTTGGACAACATGTGGATGTAGGTATAAAGGTTTAAATAATAACTATGACAAAGATGAGGTTGAATAGGAAGTTGAAATTTTGAAGGGGAGGTCATGAGAATTAGAGATATGGTATCAACGAAAATCAAAATGAAATGACACCACTTCTTCATATCAATGAAAACTGGAAATCCAGAGGATGCAGATATGACCTAGGGGGAAAAAAAGTCATAAAGCAAAAATAAACAAGATTGAGGATAAAACATTAGGAGCACCTATAATTAAGGAAATGTGAAAGAATAAGTCAGCAAAAGAAATTTAGAAATATTGATCAGTAACAACTGATCACTCATGCTCTGACTCACTGATATGAGTGCCATTTAAAGGTTGCTTGGAATCTGCAGTGTAAAAAGAGGGTTTCCTTGGGTGGGGCAGGGTGGGGGGACATTATCTCCTTTAAAATACCTCTCCTTCTTTTCCACTAGGGTTGTCAAATGATTGGACCAAGCTCAGGATAGATATATAAAAGTTTAAATTTATCTCCAAGGAAACAGGCATAGTAACCAATTTATTCACTCTCCTTTTCACACATGGCTAAAGTCTTGGAGATGCCCTTCCCCATTCCCTAACTGTAGCAGAATCTAGGGTCACCGTCCTTTTCTCTTCAACAATGATGCTTTTTTTATTTTCCAGAAACTTAACAGAAGTCCTCCTAAATACACACCACTTGGAGTTCTTCAGGGAGTTTCTCAAAGAACGGAAGGCTGAAAGCCCCTTGCAATTCCTGGTAGCCATACATAAGATCAGTATTGAGACAAATGAAAAAATGTACAAGTCTCTCTTTGAAAATATAATCAAGACTTTCTTCCATGGCAAAGTCTCTGCTGGTATGCATCCTGTTCTCCAGATATGGTTTCCTTTTCCCTTTAGCCTCTTAGGAGAAGTGTTGGCAGAGAACCTGTCTCATGTGCCCCCTGTAAGATAGGAACAGAGCAGTGACCACATGGGCAGAACTGAGACAAAGATTAAGAGGGTCAGTAAAAGCAGAGAGCAACAATTATAAATCTAAAATAAATACTAGTACGAGAAGCCAAGTGCAAGACACTTGTACTTATATGTGAAATATATCCATCCTCTCATTTAATTATATTTTGTACTGAAAATAGAATTTTATTTAATCTCTGAGAGGTAGGAATGAATAGCTCCATTTTACTAATGAGGAAGATGAAACACAGAAAACTTGAATTCAAACTTAATTCATTCGACTCTTAAATCAACTAGACAGTAATTTAAATACAAAAGCAAAAGTTAGCTGTATGTAAAGTTGGAGTGGTCACCTACTATGGGTTGTAGAGAGAGTTGTACTGGGAAGAACAGTCTCCTTGAAAATCTTTGTGTCCTAAATTTTGTTTACTTGTCTGTGAAGGTAGGGCAATCTGACCCATGGCCAGAAACAGTATTTGCAAATAAATTGTTAATCTATAACCCTAGAGGGGGAAAAGGGAGGTAAGCATAATCCCATGAAAAACATACCAGCTACCTCAGAAAAGGTAGATAAGAAAATGATGACTTTTTTCCTCTCTCTTGCATTTTTTAGAAGAAATACTGCAGTGTGATGCTCCTATTATCAAAGAAATCTCTCACATGCGTCATGTCAGCACAACCACATTGTTTATGCTACAGGGCTTTGTCATGAAATCTCTGGAAGAAAAGTGGTGAGTATTGCTCAGCGAAGGTGATGATTCTGGAGCTGCTCATTGGCTTCTTAGAGCCATAGTACTCTAGGGAGTTTCAAATTTATTCTTATAGTTCACTGCCAGACCTCCCTACAAGAGAAAAGCCAAATTTATCTTGAATCCTCTACCTACTTACCTGTGCACATGCATGTGCATGCACATACATGGTGCATGTGTACATGCACAAACACACACACACACACATACACACTTTAGTTCATTTACCAGAACAAGGAACGATACAGTATTGATCAGGAAGGACATTAGCCAAGGATTGAAATGTTAAGAAGAGTATTTGTGTTTCGCCATTCCCCAAATTTCCCACTTTGACCTTCTCCAAAAGCTGAGATAGGTTTGCCTTAACGGTTACTTTTTATGTACCAGGTGTTTGCCTTCTTTGATATTCTTGATCTCCTTCTGGCAGGTTTAAAGATTACCAAGAGCTGTTCCCACCTCATCCTCAGGAAGGATTTACTGACGTACAAACTTCTAAGAAGCCCTCAAAAACCACAACTCACCTGCAGGAATCCCAGGTCAGTGAGGAAGACAATGAAGACACGACATGGGGGATAGGAAAAGTGCTGCGTAGGCAGAGTTTCATTGTTAGTGTATTTATTCACAAAACAACTGCTCTTTGGGTATGCTTCTTAACTCACATTTTACAAAGGACTCTTAGGCTCAAAGAAAATTGTTACAGTTGGAATTTAAGAAAAATCTTTATCTTCATTTCTCTGTGACGAGAACCCATTGAGGGATAGACACCGAGTCAGATTCAAGGAGATCAAAAGGTCAGTTTTTTTACTGCTAAAAGCTAGCTTGAAGGACATGGATTTGGTCATAAAGCCCAATGGGTTTGATAATCTTCCCTGCATCCAAATTAAACTTAGTTACATGTGCAGCCACTGCCATAACAGAACAACTTAGGCCTCCACTTACCTGGGTGAACCCCTTACTGAATGATGAAGGGTAGGCCTAAACACAGGTATCCTACAAACAAGCCATTCCCAAAGAGGGAATGTAGAGGGCTTAGAGTAGAACACATCCATTTTCTTCTTCCAAACTCATCAATTATTTAACTCTTTCTTTCTCCACACAAACAGTAAAGAAAGAAAGAAAGGAAAGGAAAGAAAGAAGAGATAGAATTCTTTTCCAGCTTGCACAAAAGCATTTTAATTGATAGTGTACAATTTTCCAAAATATAGTTTTTTAAGAAAATGGCAATAATTAAATACCATCTTTACAAAGAAGATTCTCAGTAAGGTACAGTGTACTTCAGACCCCTATCCACTAAGACACATGCTCTCTCAGACAGGAATTTTACTCAGGAAAGTCTCGTTATATGATTTGAGAAAAAAAATACATGCTCCTTTAAATAATCACTTGCTCAATGTGTTGTAGAGTTGGTTAGTATCGGAAAAATTTGAGCCCATCTCTGACTCCAAAAATCATGCTTTTTCTGAAAACAATGCCTGTGCCTCCCTCTTTTCTCCTGTCTTTTCCCCTCCATGCCTAAGTCAACTCTGTGTTGGGGTACCATGAATGCTCTTGTGGGACATTAAAAAGAATATGGCACCCAGAACCAGGAGACTTCATTTTAATTTCAGGTCTTCCAGTTGCTCTTAGATAAGAAAAGATAAAAAGAAACCTATACGTACTTAGTGCCTACTTTGTACCAAACCCTGCATTGGAGTTTACATATAAAATCACTAACCCTCACCACAACCCTGAAGGTTGTTATTTCTATCTTACACATGGAGAAAACAAGACATAGATTAAGTAAACTGACCCAAATTATACAATTAGGGAGAAGCTAGGCTCCAGACTCAAAGTTTCTGATCCCAAATCCAGTGACTCTTGTATTTCACTACTGGCTCTCTAACTTGCATTGAGGATCCCTCTTTGTAGAATAAGACAACTGAACTAGTTGATCACTAAGATTCTTTCTGAGTCTAAATATCAATTTGTCAAGGGATAAATGAAGTACAGAATAGTCACTGGGTATTAAGAAACAGATGAGGAACTTATAAGATGTGTGTGTGTGTGGTGTATGTGCACATAATTATACTTTTTTAATTGTTAGAAGTGATATTACTCATTCCTTTATTTCTTCAACATTTCCAATTTTCCCCAACCATTATTCCCTTCTTGTGAATTATGCTTTTCTCCGACCTCTGTTTCTCCCTATTTTTAGCTTTCACATTCTCTTTTCTAATTTTGGCATCTTAAATCTTATTGTTGAAAAACTGTGGTAGACAGCATTGCCAATGGCCCCATGCCTGGGTAAAGCCAGAATCTTCTGCTCACTAGTTGCTTCATTTGGGGAAGGCGTATAATTCCCTGACCTGTTTTTCCTCACCTTTAAATTGGAACTAAAGATTATTCCTTATAGAGCAGGTGTGGTGAGGATGAAATATAATGAATGTCAAGTTTATGGCATATAGTAGACTTTCAGTGAACAGCAGCTATACTAATGATTGGGGCATACCCCTCTCTCTTTCCCCAGAAGAGAGGCTGGATAAAAATGATTAGCTTTATTAAGAGCTTTTGCAAGTACCGCAGATTTATGTCTGATCCCAGGAAGTGCCATGAATTTGAAGAATATCTTCACCTAGAAGTGCAAAATAACAAGGAAAGTAAGTCACTTCACTATTCACTCTTTCCTGTTGATATTTTGGACACAGGGGTTAGTCCACATAAGAAGCTGCAGAGCTCTTGCTTTATGTCATGCCTGTGTTAGCCTGGGGTCTACCAAGAACTCCAGGTCCTGGGTGCAAAACCAAGTTCAAGACTGCTTAGACAGGATGTAAGTCCAGTGGCTTCTGCTCACAGAGCCAGCAAAGGGTAGAGAATGACTAATCTAAAGCACAGCAAAATCTTACATTTCACAAAACTATTGTCCATTGTATAGATTTATTCAACTACCTCGCTTATCAGTTTATTCATTCATCACACTTTTTGAGAATCCACTATGTGGCAGGAACTTTGCCAGGTGCTGGGGATACAGTAGTAACCATGTAGTACAGGACATGTCCTCATGGCACTTACGTTTTGAGGGCAGGACAGAAAGTAAGAGCCACAGATGTTGAAGCCAAATTTCCTGGGTTGAATATGCCATTTTTGAACTAAAGGACTTTGTCAAAGTGATTTTGTGCCTCAGTTTTTTCCTCTGTAGAATGGTAATAATAATGGGATGGGTGCTCATCCCTTAGATTGTTGTGAGAATTAAGTGAGTTCATACACACAAAGTATCTTTACCCATTGCTATAAACGGGTTAGCCAGTGTTATTGCTATTATTATGTGGTGAGTGATCCCAATGATAATTGTAGGGAGACCCTAGTTAGTCAAGGAGAAGGATCAGGGAAGATTTCTAGAAAATGACATAAAATTTCCTTCAGGAATGAGCAAGTTAGACAGGCAAAATAGGCAGGGAGCAATTTCTAGGTCTGCATTGAATGCTAAAAATAACAAAGAGTGTGGCACATTCCAGGAACTGCAATCAGGCCAGTTGGACTGGAGATTAATGATTATGATTCATTAAGATTAATGAGATGGTGAAAGTATCTGAGACAATACTGAAGGAATTGATAATGATAAATCTCATCTCTCATTTTTTTGAATCTTTTAAATTTAAATTAACATATAATATAATGTTAGTTTCAGAGGTACAGTTTAGTGATTCATCAGTTGCATATAATACCCAGTACTCATTATATCAAGTGCCCTCCTAATGCCCATCACCTTCATCTCTTTTGATGACTTTAAGTTGTTCCAGTTGTCACCATAACAAATAATCCTTAGGGTGCCTGAGTGGCTGTGTCCATTAAGGGTCTGCCTTCGGCTCAGGTCATGATCCCAGGATCCTAGGATGGAGCCCCACAACTGGGTCTCTGCTCTGCACGGAGCCTGCTTCTCCCTCTCCCTCTGCCTGCACTCCCCCTGGTTGAGCTCTCTCTCTCTCTGTCAAATAAGTAAATAAAATTCTTAAAAAAAATAATGCTACAAAACATACAGATTTTGCAATCATGTATTTCTATGAGATAAATCCTTTAAAATGGGAGAAATGGGTAAATGCTTAAAAAGTTACATTTCAGTCCTTCAAGAAGACTACACTAATTAAACTTTCACCAACAATATAAGTGCCACATGGTCACCAACATGGAGTATTATGCACTTTTTAAAAACTGTCAATCTGGTAAGTGAAAACTAATGTGCTGTTCTTATGTATATTTCTTTAGTAATTGAACTCCTTTATTTGTTGGTCAGTTGTATTCCTTTTTGAATTGCTTATGTCTTTTGTGTATTTTTCTATTGGAATTTTAATTGTAATATATTTTCTAATTTTCAAAATTACATATATTTTTGCAAAATATATAATATAAATAATATATTTTATAATATAAAATGTAAAAACAAATTCTAATTTGTTTTACGAACTGCTTCACAAACATTTAGGATTTTAGAATAGTTCTAGCTCTTTTGTTTCCTTTTTTAAATAAAATTAGTTCAAACCCTTATTCCCCAGAATGGTACAAAGTCCAATTTCAGACATAATTCAACTTCCCACATCCTTAGCATTGTATGAGAATAGCCCAAGAAGAAAGCTTCTGTAACTCGGTGGGAGATCTACCTACCAGTGGTCTGCTTTCTATCACTATCATTTAGACTTTTCTGTCCTTCAATCAATTAATCCACTTATCATTACAAAAAAAAACACTTTGTTTATCCTTGATAGTATTCTTTTCTCTGAAATCTACTTTGTCTGATATTAAAATAATCACTCCAGCTTTTTTTTAGTAATGTTAGTATGTATTATCTTTTTCATTTCCTTATAACCTATTTATGACATACATTTAAAGTGCTCCTCTTGTAACTAGCATGGAGTTGGGTCTTAGTTTAAAAAAATAATCCAACCTGACAATCTTAACCCAATTGAGAATGAACTGTTAAATATTCAGGACATTTTGTGAGCCATTGATAGCTTGAAATCAACTATGGTGGGAGTATTTATTACAGAAATCAGCAAATACTACAAATCAAGTCTCCTGCTCCCCTGTCATAGCTGGTTTACAAGTGTATCACTGCTCCCAGATTTCTTGAGTGGATTTAGCACACCATTTTCCTAAAATCCCTATCATACCAACTTCCACTACTATGCAAACTTTTTTTCCCCCTTCAAACTCAAGTCTAAGAGATAAAGCGAGATTGTAAGATAAAAAGAAGGAGACTTTGCTTTATTTGGTGCTGTAACCCTAGGACCTAGTATGGGGTCTGGGACATAAAATAGGTTCTAGCTATTTATACAATGTTGTAGTACCCTCCCACCCAATATATAACACTGCTCCAAAAGGAATGCCACTTATACCACAGGAAGCACCACACCCACATCAATGATTCCTGAACAGATATCCAGAAAAATGGATTTTATAGGAAAAATAGTAAATTCTAGAGCTGAATTAGACAATTTTCTTAAACCTGGCCAGGCAATTAACCAGGATCTACTTGCCTGATACAGCGCAAAACTCTTATCTTCTTAGCCCTAAATCCCTATGAATGGATTTCTTTATATATATATATCCTAGTCAAGAACCTTTCTAAAGTGTCATATTTTTCTGAGGCACAATCCAAACCTTCTTGAATCTTCAATGTTTTTCTTTGCTCATTTCTGTCTGTTTTCTACTCTAGCACCCTACTCTCTTTTTCTTTAATAAACTTCTATACTCTTGATGTTTTGGCTTTTTGTTGTGCTGCTTTCCCAGTTTCCTTCTAAATTACTTACCTTGATAAACCTAGAATAAGTGATGTAAGAACCACAGACTCCATTTTGAAGGTCACATCTGCATATTCAGTTTCTGCAGAAATGTTAGGGATTAGCGTAACTACGGTGCAATTATATTTCTATGAGACAAGTACCAGGAAAACACTTTTCAGCACTCATTTGATTTTTTTCTTTTCTTTTCTTTTCTTTTTTTTTTTTTTTTTGGTATGTATGTGGTCATACCATCGGAGCAAACGGCTTTTTCAGCAGTCCTTCAAGTCAAAGTAAAGGTTGAGCCCAAGGGTAGGAAATCACTATTTCAATAGGCCCAAAGATTGGTCCATAGTTTCCTTTCTTCATTTTGTTATGCCCATGCCAAAGCTTTCAAGTTTAAGAGGGACTTGCTCAAACTAGATTTTAATTCCTTCCTCTTTCTCTCTCAGATTTCTCCACGTCACCAAATTCATCAGGACGTCCAACCACATATGCCACAAATGTCCGGAATGCAGACCTTGAGAATGGTGATATAATCCTTATGAAGCGCCGTATATTTGGCCACAGAATTATCATTGTCAACTTTGCAATCAATGATTTATATTTTTTTTCTGAAATGGAAAAGTAAGTTTCCCATCTCTCCTGATCATGACTTTCCCTGGTTAGTACCATCCAGCAAAGACTGGAGGGGCCTGTAAGTGGAGCAGTGATTTCAGCCCTGCCAGGCAGGGATATCCAACTGAAAATCTCACTGAATTCCGTCACTGTATCACTTTCTCCCATTCTTCCCTTTAGGTCCTAGAAGCTCTTCAGTATTCTGGAGTTGCCAATATTGAAGTGATTGAAATATTGAAATGATACTTATACTCAGGAACTGGAGCATTTCCCCCCCTATTATTTGTTAATATGATAGAAATCCTCTTACATAGCACCATAGGGCCAATAGTTCTTTAGTTAGAGCAAAGAATTATAATAATAAAAATTGTGTGTGTCTGTGTGTATGGATGACATTAAACAGATAACTATATCTATATAAAATTCCTTGCTTTTATTCATCCATCTTATGAAAAAGCAAGTAGTAGGAAAAAATTGGAGATCATTCTGTTTCAGCTTTTGGTGAAATATATGAAGCAAAACATCTTTCTGGTCTGGGTCATATAATTCTTACTGTTGTTCAGTGTGGTTTCTACTTAGAAATATTTCTTTTTGAGGGGGATGGAGGGGTAGAAGAAGAGGAAGAGAGAGAATCTGGAGCAGACTCAACACACAGTACAGAGCCCAACATGGGACTCGATCTCACCACCCTGAGATCATGACCTGAGCCAAAATCAAGAGTCCAAAGCTTAAGTGATGGAGCCACCCAGGCACCCCTCTACTTAGAAATATTCTTAACCAAGTGTGTCTCATGTGTACAGCTCTCCAATTTCTGAGCCCAGGGCCTGAATTTGCAAAACAACCATACTGGAATAGAGGAGTTAGTCAATGTTCTTAACCCTGGTACAGGTTCACTGGGGACTTGTGAATACTGCCAATGCCAACATCCCTGAGACTTGGATTTCACTGGTCCAGTATGGAGCCTGGGAACTGGTATTTTCATAAGCTGCTCATGTGATTCTAATGTGCAGCACAGTTGAGAACCTGGATCTAGCCCCTCCGAAAGAATTGACTTAAAATTTCTCTTGAATATTTGCATATAGAAACAAGTGACTATCAGAGAAATGAGTCTCCACTTCTTTCTCCATCCTCATCAATGGGAACATCTTTGCCACTATCAGAAATGGCATGTTCCTGGAATACTGATTTGAAATCTGGAATACATTTCACCTGTAGAAATAATGTACTACATGATTAGGTATCTTATATAAAGTAGAATGACTCGATTGCCTTATGAGTCTTTGTTTTAGAATGTGGTAGGTGTTTTTTTTTTTTTGAGAACTATAAGAAGTTCTAAACTAATTTTGAAATAAAGATGGAAATGCATAAATGATTTTTAAATTGATGTAAGTTAGAAGTCTCCTGTACATACATACATACATACATACATACAGGTTATTCAATCTTCTATATTACTTCACTCATTGTGTATCATTATTATTATTGTTTTTGCTTGCCTCTGACTGATTAGCTTTTAAAAAATTTTTAATTCCAGTAGAGTTGACATACAGTGTTATATTAGTTTCAGGTTTAGGATATATTGATGAAACAATTCTATACATCATTCAGTGTTCATCATGATAAGTATATTCTTATCACCTATTTAACTCATTCCCCACACTTCCCCTCTGGTAACCATCAGTTTGTTCTTTATAGCTAAGAGTCTGTTTCTTAGTTTGTCTCTTTTTTTGTTTGTTTGTTTTGTTTCTTAAAGTCCAAATATGAGTGAAATCATATGGTATTTGTCTTTCTCTGACTGACTTACTTCACTTAGCATTTTACCCTCTATCTCCATCCATGTTGTTGAAAATGGTAAGATTTCATTCTTTTTTATGTCTGAGCAATATTCTATTGTATAAATATACCACACCATTCTTTATCCATTAATCTGTCAATGGACACATGGGCTGCTTCCATTAATTTGGCTATTATAAATAATGCTGCAACAAACATAGGGGTACATATATTTTTCTGAATTTTTGTATTCTTTGGGTAATATCCAGTAGTGGGGTTCCTGGATCATATGGTAAATCTATTTTTAATTTTATGAAGAACATCCATATTTAAATAGATATTATTATGTTAAATTATACTAATATATTTTCACTCACCATCAAATATATAAAGTCAAATATAAAGTCAAAGCCATTCCTCTAATTGGAAATCCACATATTTTTCTTGCATCAACTATATCCAAAATGCTATCTGCTAATTCTAATTTTTCTCTCTTTAAAGTAGAGTGAGAATTTAGAGGAAATTTAATCCTTCTGGATTTTTATACTTGTTTTTTCAAAGTCTTAAATTGCTATGTCACATCTAGCTTAGTAACTTTTTAAAAAGTAGCTTGTCTTTACTGGAACATTCCAACACATTCAAATTTATTTTCACAGAAACAACAAATACTTTTTCCTTTTATGTTCATATTTTATCGATCTTTGTGCATTCAAATTATAGTAACAAGTACAATAGCAAAAGTATTTGAAAAGAAACATGAGTAATTCTCAGTATATATCGCCTCAACTCATTGAGAAAATGTGCGTGTATCACAGAAGGTACACCAGTGTATATAGTGAGCATGTCATAGGCATCACTCAATGTATTTTCAGAAGTGCAGAACACCTGGTAATTCAGCACACTAGTTAAGGTACTTTGGTTAAAAGATCTTCCACTGCACTCCCATGAGGCATTCACTCAGTTCCACAATTGCTTTCTGATTGCTACTTGTTCTTGGGCACTGGATTTGGAATTAGAGATACAAAAGAAAATTAAGACGTGCTCTCTATTCTCTAAGATCTTAGAAACTAATCTGGATGGCAGACAAAACACAAGTAAGAGTTAGGAAATAGGATGGTAGGTGAAAGAAGTGCATTTGGACAACTAAAAAGAAAAACAGGACTTTGTTTACCATGTTCACTGCTGAATCCCTGCTCTTGGAACTGCACCTGGCATAGAGTAAGCCTTTATAAATGTCCACTGGTTAAATAAATGAATAGGTATGCAAAACAAGATTCTAATGGGAAAATCTTGGTATTCTACTCTTAGGAAAATTTTAAATGATTAAAATTTAAAGAGGCCTGAGAAAAATAAACTGTGTACTTAAAGCAAGATAAGGTATAACTGATATATTTGATGGTTAGTAAAAGAATATATTTCCTAGGAGATAGAAAGTAGTTGCCAGGGGCTGGGGAGGGGAAGAATGGGGAGTTATTGTTTAATGGCATAGAGTTTCAGCTGAGGAAGATTAAAAAAGTTCTGGAGATGCATTCTGTTGATGGTTGCACCACAAAGTCAGTGTACTTAATGCCACTGACTGTACATTTAAAAACAGTTACACTAAAAAAGTAATAATAATAATTTTAATAAATAAATAAATAAAAATAAAAGCAATTACACTGGTGAATTTTATGTTACATATATTTTACTATAATAAAAAAATTAAGAAAAGGAATATGTTGCTCATAGAGTGGTAGGAATTATAAGAGCATCAGCACAGAAGGGGAAAGAAAAAGCAAGACAGCCCTTAGCCCTTGAAGTCTTCAGAGGCAACACTGGTACAGAGGCCAGGATGGAGACAAGATGAAATACATAAGCGAGTTTGTGGTAAAGAAATACACTTGAAGAAGCACTTAGCATATCACCTGACATGTGGTAGGTGCTCAATTAGTTAGTATCTGCCAATGGAAGCATTATGATTGAATGAATTAAGTTGTAACCTGGCCAGGATTCGGCCCTGTCTTATTTAGGCCAGAAATGGGTCTAAGCTGGCTGCCCTATTTAGTTGCTGTATTTATCTTCTCCTCGCTGATTTCCTACTTATTGCTTCTTTTTAGGTTTAATGATTTGGTGAGTTCAGCTCACATGCTGCAAGTCAACCGGGCATACAATGAGAATGATGTGATCCTAATGAGGTCCAAAATTAACATCATCCTAAAGCTCTTCCTGCATTCTGAAATCCCTCCAAGGCTGAGGGTAAAGGGGACTCCCACTCCTCCCTGGGCTTTTGCCAAGAAGCATTTCTTCCACAAGAACTCTGAAAGTTGATATGCACCTGTTAAGTCTTGGATCAACCAGATAAACTTTACCTAGCAGTTGCATGAAAATCTGCTGCCTTCTGGGGAGGAGGTGGTCTTATAGGTCCTGGGGATCAAAAGAGGCTTTCTGTCTTCCCTGGAGCCTCTCCCAGTAACAGGCTCCCACTCTATGGGTAGGTAAACATCTCTGAATCCCAGAAGGATGCCATCCTTGCTGCCATTTCAGAGGGCCACCTAGATCGGAACATCTTCCACGGGCCTATCATGTCTCTCTTCCCTGTCATTATGTACTTCTGGAAAAGGTAACTATTTCCCTTTGCCCGAGGACTGTGAGGGCAGGAAAACACATTTTATTTCCTAGAGAGTTTTCTGTTTCCTCTAGCCCTCTGCTTCACAGTTTTCCAGTCTCTTGGGAACTACAATGGTATATTCTTATCCTACTTGATACACTCCATCCCTCACACTCTCACAATGAAACTGAATCAGAGGATGGGAGGCTAAGTAAGACTGGGGACCAGAGTGCTTGGCTTCTATTTCCCCTGTGCTTGCTTGGAAAAGGGATGTTAGGGATGCCTGGGTAGCTCAGTGGCTGAGCATCTGCCTTTGGCTCAAGGCGTGATCCTGGTCCGGTGATCGAGTCCCACATCAGGCTCCCTGCACGGAGCCTGCTTCTCCCTCTGTCTCTGCCTCTCTCTGTGGGTGTCTCATGAATAAATAAATAAAATCTTTTTTTTTTTTAAAAAAAGGAAAAGGGATGTTAGTTTTCTTTTTTTCTTTTTCTTTTTCTTTTTTTTCTTTTTTTTTTTTTTTTTTGATGTTAGTATTCTTAGGATAGATTCCTCACCAAAGTGTGAGTATGTACTATAGCTACCTGGGAAGTCAAAACTAACACAATTGTACTTGTGCTTTTAGGAGCTTCACTGAGACAGTAGGACAAAAGAATTTTACCTACCATAATTACCAGTAGAGGCACAGTTGCTAGATATTTCAATTTCCAAGAGGAGCTTAGAAATTTAGGGGTTTTTGTTGTTGTTGTTAAAGACTTATTTACTTGAGAGAGAGAGAGAGTGCAAAGAGGCAGAAGGAGAGAATCTTCAAGCAGACTCCCCGCTGAGCCCAGAGTCCGACACAGGGCTCCATCTCATGACCCACGAGATCATGACTTGAGCCAAAAACCAAGAGTCAGTCACTCAACCAACAGAGCCACCCAGGTGCCTCCAAAATTTAGGTTTTGGGGTCATATATCCCAAAGTTAAAATGGCAAATGTGGCAACTAACTCAAATTTGAAACATAGTAAGGAAATTACGAAGGCCAAAAACAAAAATGAAGTAAATGAAATATCTGCAGGACAAATGCAACCTGTGGCCCACTGGTTTCTAACCTAGCCTGTCAAGGTTTGGGCTGAGACACTAGCCCAGGTCCTCCCAGCTGGTTATTTACTCCTGTGGTACATTGTAGCTTCACCCTATACCTTCCATGTAGCAAATGGCATGTGCCCTGGGTGACAGTGACCAGAGGACAACGGGCTGAAATGTTACAAGACAGGTCTAATTAGGATAGATTATGTGATTCCAGCTCTTAGGGGTCCCCTACACACACACATAAAAGTTATGTTTTAGAAGTGTCAGGATTGCTTACCAATCTCCAACCTTTTATTTTAAAATATCTATGATAAATAGAACTACCCTACATTCCAGAAATTGCATTACTAGTCTTTACCCAAAGGATATGAAAATACAGATGCAAAGGGGTACATGCACCCTGACATTAATAGCAGCATTATCAACAACAGCCAAACTATGGAAAGAGCCCAAGTATCCCTCATCTAACAAATGGATAAAGATGTAATACACACACACACACACACACACACACACACACACTGGACCATTACTAAGTCATCAAAAAGAATGAAATCATGTCATTTGCAGTGATGTGGATGGATCTAGAGTGCCTTATGCTAAGTGAAATAAGTCAGAGAAAGACAAATACCATGTGATTTCACTCATATGTGGAATTTAGAAAACAAAACAGATGAATGGTGGGGAGAGGGAAAAAGAAGGAGAGGGAGGTAAACCATAAGAGACTCTTAATGATAGGAAAAAAACTGAGGGTTTGATGGAGGGAAGTGGGGGGATAGGCGAAGTGAGTTATGGGTATTAAGGAGAGCACTTGTTAGATGAGCACAGGGTATTATATGTAAGCGATAAATCACTAAATTCCATTCCTGAAACCAATATTACACTGTATGTTAACTAATTAGAATTTAAATAAAAATTAGGGAAAAATAAGTATCACTCAGTTCAATTAAAAAAATAAAATCTCTATGATAATAAATTATTTAATACAGGATTGGAAGAATTAAAAACCGAAGTTCAAGATAACCAGTTTATCCTTTGAACACCAATTATTATCTAGCACCAAGGCTAGACTTGATTCTAGTTCTGCTAAGCAGGATTAAATAGAAATTTGTCCTGAAACTTTCTTTAGGATCAGAAACCCCTGGGAAATGCATGGCTAAGTCAGTGCTCAGCACTCCCTCATACTAATAGGGAAGTAGAGTAGTGCTTCAGGGAGGCTTTTAATCCCTAATCCTTATGCAGCTGGTTCTTCCCTTGCTTTCCTATATACTCTTATATAAAGAGTTTTATATTGCACAACTTGTGTTTACATATGTTATCCCAGATGAACCTCTCAATAGCCCTATGAGGTGGGTGGGACAAAGAGTTATTATCCCTATTTTATAGATGAGTAGTAAAACCAGGATTAAAAACCAGATCTCTTATTTTCTTAAGCGCCATAAAGAATGCATTGTGGCACACTGGGAGCTCCATAATGGGAGGGAGACTCATTTTAGCAAGTGGAACAAGAGAAAACGAATGTGATCAAATAGAGTGCCCCTTGTGAAAGGGAAAGAGGACACCAGTTAAGACCATCAGAGCAAAGGCAGGATAAAAAAATCCAGTCTTAGCCAAGACCAACTCTGAGGGGGTCCAATGAAAGGATAGACTGAGGAACAGCAAGGAGTTGGCCAGGGAGAGATGAAGAGTGGTGTAAGGGATTCCAGGTCTCAGATTGCTGTGCCTATTATAAGTCCAATTTCATGTGAGGAGCAGTGGTCTACTCCAGGGAAAGGACTGCTGGGGATATGATGACAAGATCACGACCTACAGTAAGGGACAGGATGAAACCAGGGATTGGAACTTGAGAGGAAACCAGTCAGATGCTCTGGCTACAGCAGGTGTAGTTAAGTGGGAACCTCATAGTCTGATGCTCAAGCATGCATCAGAATGATTGACCCCTCCTCACACCTGGATATAGCAGATTCTTTACAGATTCCATTTACTGGTTCCAGAAGGGAATCCGAACATACTGTTCATGCCAGGTTCTCACTGGAGCTAAGCCTGGACACAGAGAAGGCTCAGAAGAAGGGCCTCTGATGGGCAGCACTCCAAGGCCAAGTCTTTCCTCTTCTCTATTGACACTCCACTCTCTGGGAGGACTGGTCCTAATCCAGTTGCCCTGTGCTCAGCATTCCAGCCTCTTCAACTGGTGGTATCTTTCTCCATGTGACCAGAAGCATTCTTCTCACAGGTTTTGTTCCTGGAAGGCAACCCGCTCTTACTTCCAGTACAGGGACAAGACATACAAGGATAAAAAATCTTCTCCTAAGCCCATGGCTAAGTACCCTCTTTGGAGTGGAGGTAAGCCATACCATGATCTATAGCCCCATTCTTTAGCAAGTGAGACTCATGAAGGGAAAGCAAGGGTCCAAAGGACCAACATAAGACTCCACAGGGGGTATTTGCTAGAGGGGTGGGCATCTTATAAACTTGGCTCTCAGAGAAACATTAAAGTATATTTTGTCTATTGTTATCAGTACCAGCCAAAGAGTACCTCACCCATGTACCACTCCTCAGCAGTACCTCCCAGTAGCCTTAGGAGGTAGGTCATGGCCCATGTGGTGGGTAAATGGAAATGGTGACCTGCTTTACTGCTATTTAAGAGGCCCCTGCTCCAACTATCTCCAGAAACCCTATCATTTGAAAAGCATCTATTTTATAGTGTTGAATAAGAAAATTAAAAAGTGGATGTAGGGTATAATTTTAATGTGGTAAATATACATATATATCTATATTTTATGCATAAGAATAATTTTTATGAAAGCATGGGAAAAACTCAGCAATAAAATGTTAATAAGATTATCTCTGCATGGTGTGATTATGAGATATTTACATATTAATATATATTTTTTAATTTTTTAATTTTTATTTATTTATGATAGTCACAGAGAGAGAGAGAGAGAGAGAGAGAGAGAGAGAGAGGCAGAGACATAGGCAGAGGGAGAAGCAGGCTCCATGCACCGGGAGCCCGACATGGGATTCGATCCCGGGTCCCCAGGATGGCGCCCTGGGCCAAAGGCAGGCGCCAAACCGCTGCGCCACCCAGGGATCCCCATATTAATATATTCTTAATACGTGCTATTCATATGTTGTATATTAATACATTTATACATAAGCAAATAGATGTGTTTGAAAACATGCAGACGTATGTGCTTTCTTAGCAGATCAGTTAAACTCAGTCCTTTTCTTAATATCTGCACTGAGATCAATACTTAAGCAAAAGGAAATTTTTAAAGAGAGGGGGGAGGGTATATTGAGAAGTGCCTGGAGAGGACAAGGCTGGATGTCTCTGCAGTGGAAAGTTCTGGGAACCAGAGAACAGGTCTGTGAGTCTGAAAACAGTAGCAACATCAGAATAGATTATGGAGTTAGGACAGGAGTCTTAAAGACAGCAGCAAACTGTCTTGTGGAAGAGCTGGGCATTCCGTGGTTTCAGCTCAAACCTATACAGTTCTCATCTCTTTTCCCAGATACTTAATCCAGCCCCCCTTCCAGCCTCCTCACAAACAAGCATCCCCACCCCTTTGTGGAGTACAAATGAAGCCTTTGAAACTTAACTTATCCCTAGCTTGCATGAACAGTGGGAGAGCCAGCTCTGGCTGGTTGTAGAGCCCAGTTCCTGCCCCCCAAGAGGTTCCTCAACTAAGTAGGAAATAAGTCACCTCTACCTCCCTGGCTGCAGCAGCCCTAATGGCCAATGACTGTTGTTCATTATCCTTGTCTCTGCCTTGTAAAATGTCGCATCAGTAGAAAGAAATCAGCAATCTTTACAATATGTGGGACAAAGTGTCCCTGTGGGTGCAAGGGCTTATTTGGGGTGAGGGTGGAGGGGTGGCGGTAGGGGACAGTAAGAGGGAAAAGAAAGGGAGGGGAGCAGGCAGGGTGGGCAAATGATACTCAGAAGGAGCAAGAACATTCCCCTTAGTGGCAACCAAAAAGCTTCCATCTTTGGCTCATTTCCTATAGCTGAGCTCTAGGGAAGTAAATCCCTAAATCTTTTCTGGTGTCTTAAATTGGAAGAGAGTAACAGGATGCCCTAAATTAAGAGTTCAGGGCACTTGGGTTCCTGGCCTGAAGAGTCCATGTGTATGAGTTGAGAGAACTGGAGCATCTTGCTTCTCTGCTTTCCACCCCTTGATCTCAAATACAGAGGTTTGGATTTAGATAATGTCTATCATTAACATTGTACACTCCAAGGAATGTTATCAAAAACTTCCTTGCTTGCATATAGGGGAGCCCAGGTGGCTCAGTGGTTTAGCGCCACCTTCGGCCCAAGGCCTGATCCTGGAGACCCGGGATCAAGTCCCACGTCGGGATCCCTGCATGGAGCCTGCTTCTCCCTCTGCCTGTGTCTCTGCTTCTCTCTCTCCTTCTCTCTCTCTCTCTCTCTCTCTCTCTCTAGGTCTCTCATTAATAAATAAAAATCTTAAAAAAAGAAAAGGACTTCCTTGCTTGCATATAAAGATTTATTTTGTCAGATGTTAAAGGGATTTTAATACTCCCTCTCCTTCTTCTCCAGGAGACCATGCCATCTTAAGATTCACCTTGCTCAGAGGTATTGAGTGGTTTCGGCCTCAACAGCGGGAAGTAACGACAAGTCCAGTCCAAAATTGTGAGTTGGAGTTGGAATCCCACTGATCTAATTACTCAGAGGCTGACTCTAATCCCAATTTGGCCAATCTTCTTATTGACCACAAGGAGACTGAGGTACCCAAACTGTGAAGCAATTTGCTCCAAACCACACAGCATCATGTGAGTGGCAGGGATGGGATGAGAAGCAGGTCTCCTGACTGTCTTTCTGGGCCTCAGCTCTCATCTGAATAATTGTATCTTCTTAATTCTTTTATAGCCCCTTGAAGACAAGTGCTTTAAACTTCCCTGTATCTCTGCTGGCTCCTCTGCCATTTCTAGGTGTGGTGTGTGATTTTTATTAAGAGACAATCATAACATCCCAATTGTTATTTTCCCCTCCCTGTGATAGCACCTGCTGGCTTGAACAGGGCCTCCATCCCATACTTCCTGCTTCCTGGAAGTGCCTGCTACTGAACTTATCCCTGTAATAAACACTCTGGTCCTAGCCTCCTGCATTTGAGCCATGTTATATTCTTTTTCTCCCCCATCTTCAGCTTCAAGGAGTAATCCCACTCCCAAGTATTAAAGTTGCCTTGGTTTCCACATGGTCTCTCCTGACAAGCCCTTTTTATTTTTCTGTACCAATTATTCACTTCTATTTCCAAGTTAGGGATACTGTTTCTCTCTGCTGCTTATGGGCATAAAATGCCAGCTTGCCTATTCTGCTATTTGCATATGTCCCCTAGTTGCTCAATGGGAGAGGCTACTATGGAACAGTGCCCATGATCCAAAGGGTCCAAACAGCCCTAAAATTTTGTGTTTCTCGTGTTCATTTGGTCTAATCTTCTTATCTTCCCTGGGTCTATGGGGATGGCATAATCTTTGAATCCAGACGAAATGTCTCCTAAGACAAAAGGAACTGCAACATTCAAACCAGGTCTCCCTAATGGCCCCGGAGCATCACTGCTTCACCTTCTATTTCCAACTCCCCTGGAAGCTGCTCTGGGATGGCCTTCCTGGGTTGGAGGCCCTCCAGTGAGTGTCTGTGCTCTGAGTTATGATGCAGTTTTTCTCTATATTTGTCTTTAGCTTCATCTAGCAACTTTACGCTATCAAGACATGTGCTCTCCACTGTGCAGCTGTGTCCTGTCCCAGGGTAGGCAAAGTTGGAATTATTCTTCTTTAGTTCAGAGCTGTTTTGTCCAAGTGTACAATGGGAGCTAGGGGAGAAACTTCCCAGAAACTTAGTTCCACATCCTAACACTCCTTAGCATGTGTAAACCAGGAAGTTGAGCTTGCTTCTTCCAGAGAGTCCTGTAGTCAAGATAGTTAGGGAAGGGTTTCTCTGTGGATATCCTTGCATGCCTCCAACTAGGACAGGCACTTTTAGGAAGTTGGATCCCCTGACCCACCTTCTAGGAGAGCACTATTGCTGGAGAAAGAATGTCCCAGATGGTCTTTTATTACCAGTCTCCTTAATAATCCAGCCTTTCAAGGTAAGGTACATAAAATGGAAAGAAGAAAAGTTATTCTACTTGGCAGGATATTGGCAATAAAAGTATAAAGGACTTGAGCCTGTTAAAATCTGATTCAGCCTAACTCACTTCTGTACAAGCAACAAAGTGGAATTAATGCTAATTTATGGCTCTGAGAAAACCCCATGGGGTCATGAAAACATAACTGAGCCAAAGAGCTGCTTGAAAGTCTAGGAGGCTTGATAGCAGGCTCTGTAAATGGAAGGCCTAGTTTCCTCACCAGCCATCCCACCTTCTCAGACCTTCTACAGGTTCAACAGGGGTTTAGAGCTGCCCCAGTATCACTTGCTTATGCTGATGCCTGGAAGACAAGACCTTTGGATCTCTTTTTACAGAAAGGCAATGCACAGATTCAGAGGTTTTAAGTTTGAGGAGGAAGGTGAGAATAAGAATGCAAGGCTCCCTGTCCTGAAGTCAAAGGGTTTTGGTTTGGACTACTGCCATTCCTAAAGGGAATGACAGTAACAAACCAGTAGAATATGCCAGTTACCTCATTGCCATTCTGATAACTAGTCACTCTTCTCTCTTCCTACAGACCAAAATTACCTGGCACCAAAAAGGAGAAAAAGTAATCAAGTCAGGCTCCTAACAGAGGCATGTCATCTCTTAGAAGCCTCCTAACACTGACAGAAACATTTCTGGTCAGAAATGAAATGCCCTGTGTCATCTGCCCTGGAATGATCAATGGAATGACAGCCCAGACATGGTAGGATGGGACTGCGGTGGGTAACATGTGAGCAGAGAGCATGAACAGAAGTACCTCTGCACCCCTTGATCCTGGGGGTTCTGTCAATGATGGTCTTTCCACAATGGACATGTAACAAATCATCTATCTCTTGGGGTCAAGAGACCAGACTTCTTAATTCACTCTGGTGCTGCATGGCCTTGAGCAAATCTCTGACTTATGGTTGTCAAAGAATCTCATGACAAATGTGTGTAGATGGCATTAAACATTCTAGTAAACAAGTTACTATTTTTATCAACAGTGAACAGATGGGATCTTAATGCTAGGATCTCCCATTTGGACAATAACTCACATCCATTATCTTAGGAAATCCTCACAACTCTGCAAGTAACCATGTTAAAAATTAATTATTTTTAAATAGATAAAGAAACTGACACACAGAGAACGTAAGTGGCTTTCCCGAGATCATCTTCAGAAGGGAGAATCTGACCTAGAACACATCACTTCTTAATCTTTGCCTAGTTCTCATTCCATGCTCACCTTCTACACAACTTTTCACACACAAAAGGAATAGTTCTTCCCTGGAGTTCTGTTTGTTTGCCAATTAATAGATAAAGAGACTCTTTGGAAAACTTTTGACCTAAAGACCTAAATTATTGTCATAGTTATAGAGTCACTAGGCCCATTTTCTTTTCTTTGAAGAAAATCAGGAATAAAATAAATGACCAAATGTTAAATATCCTCCATTTAAGATAAAGGAGAAAAGACTGACTGGCTCAACTCTGTGAATTGCAGAAGAAGGAAAGACTAGAAAGCTTGTTGGAGAAGTCTCTCAAATTTCCAGGCAGTTTCCTACTATGTTGATGCCCTTTATTTCCTAAATTTTATCAAGACTAAAAAATGTGATGTCAGGACAGGGCTCACAAATACTTGGGACTGTGAGATCATCTGGATGGAGCTTTGATTGTGACAGGCCAGGAAGACTATAGGCAGATGTGACTAGAAAAGTTCTCAATGTAAATGAGGTACAGAGAGCCTCAGGCCACTGGGAGAGGGTCCAGGGAAGCAAGCATTCAGCCTAAGAAGGTCCAGAAGAAAGGAGTGAGAATTTCCTCCCCTAATGGGCTAAGCTAGGAGCTAACCCAAAATAGAATTTGAATTAACAGATGGAGTAGAGGGAAAGAGACAGAATTAGAGTTTTTTAAAATAGGCAAGAAACTAAAGCAAGATACCAGGATAAGAATGGAGAAGAGCCCTATTATTGGAATCAGGTAGCAGGAATGATCTTGGTCAAAGATGAACAAGTCGAAACATATGGAACCAGAGAGGTTATCAGGCCAGCAACAAAGCACTTTATGAGAATCTAGTAAAATATTGACTCAGGGCCATATGCCTAAATACCCTCACACTGGACTGCGGCAAAGCTGAAACTACAGATTGGCAGTAGATAGGTCCCACTGAAGAAAAAAAAGATTACTAAAAGAACTCATTTGAAACTGTGACCTTTGCCCATTTCATAATTCTCTACCTGTATTATGCTCATTCATGAGTATAGTCATGTGCAGATAAGCAAGCACACACAAACATGTTATTCAAAATATCTCACAATACATAATAGGACCACCTGAATAGAAAAAATGGTTCTGCTTATTTATTGAGGCTTGTTTATCACTTCCTTTGCTTTCAGATCCTCTCACTTCAGAGATCCCAGATCTAGTATCTTCTTACTCTAGATTTAGGCTAGCATCACAAAGGCAATCAGTTACCATGCAAGCAGATAATATAAATGAGTAAGCAACCCATGAGTGATAACAAGGAATGGTAGAAACTGTGATGAACTGGTGAACACCTCTTAAAGGGGAGAGTAACACTCAGTTGGAAAGAAAGAAAGGAAGAAAAGTGGGGGAGAGGAAGAGAGAGAGAAAAAAAGGTAAAAAGAAAAGGAGAAAAAGAACAGGAAATTTAAAGTTTTTATAATACTATGCAAGTCAAACAAAACTTGGCAGTAGGCAACATTGGCCCACAGCCCAACAAATTGCAATCTTTGCTTTAAACTTTTTCTTTCCCCTTGTAATTATATTTGGGTCCTGGATCTAAGAAAATGTTAAAAGGGAGGAAGAGAAGTTCAAACAATAGACCCATGAGAGTCACTGGCATGAAAGGAAAAGGCCAGGGAAAGAAGCTGGCCTCCTCTAGTCTCTGTACTGGTGTTCTATTGATAACATAACAAATTACCAGCTACTTTTTGGCTGAAAAAAACACAAAATTACTAGCTTACAGCGCTGTAGGTCAGAAGTTTGACTTGGGACTCATCAGGTTCGTCAGGTGTGCAGAAGTGCATTCCTTTCTGGAGGCTCTAGGGGTAGATCCATTCCCTTGCTCATTCAGGTGGTTGACATAATTCTGTTCCTATAGTTGTAGCACTGAGATTTTGTTTCCTTGCTGGCTGTCAGCTTTCTTTCCCTGAGAGAAAAAGCCTCAACTCCCTTTTTTTTTTTAATTTTTTTTTATTGGAGTATGATTTGCCAACACTTAGCATACACCCAGTGCTATCCCAAGTGCCCCTTCAGTGCCCATCACCCAGTCACCCCAACCCCCAGCCCACCTCCCCTTCCACTACCCCTTGTTCATTTCCCAGAGTTAGGTGTCTCTCATATTTTGTCACCCTCACTGATATTTTCACTAATTTTCTCTCCTTTCCCTTTATTCCCTTTCACTAATTTTTATATTCCCCAAATGAATGAGACCATATAATGTTTGTCCTTTACCGATTGACTTATTTCACTCATCATAATACCCTCCAGTTCCATCCACGTCGAAAAAAGCCTCGATTCCTTAGGGACATATTATACAAGACCACTGACAATTTGACCCCAATCTGGATTTCCAGATTCATCTTTCATCTGTTGCCTCTCTTCCTCATGCATTCCATTTCCCAGCAACAAGGTTGTGTAAAATGCCTTTCCCTTTTCCTCCACCTGGTGATAAGAGATATCACAATGACACCTCCTGATTGTCTCCTCTCTCTTCCCACAATTTCCTCTCTGTTTCTGCGACACTTTTCCCCCTTTAGAGATCCATATGTATACATATATATATATATATACACCTTTACCTACTAGACTATAAATCTTTGTAGGACAGAGACCACATCCTGCTTTTCTTTATGCTCCCAATACCTAGTACAGTGACATGCGGATAATAGTTGCCCCATAAAAACATGTTGGATGCATTAGTAAATGAACCTAATGGGTTTGGGAATGTAGGGGACAAATCAGAATGTGCAGTTTATGCCTGCCCTAACCTTACAGTTAATTATGCTGGCTTTACAATTGGAGTAGACCATGATGTTTACCAGAAAAATCAAATCAGTAATCAAATTTAATTATGACTAGCACATTAAAGAAGAAATAACAAATTTTCCTTATGAATTTTTTATATTCCAATAACTCCTGATGCTTTAAGAACACTCTATTTTTTTATTTTTTATTTTTTAGAAAGTTCATATAAGGGCAGCCCCGGTGGCTCAGCGGTTTAGCACCACCTTCAGCCCAGGGTGTGATCCCGGAGACCCAGGATCAAGTCCCATGTCGGGTTCCCTGCATGGAGCCTGCTTCTCCCTCTGCCTGTGTCTCTGCCTCTCTCTCTCTGTGTGTGTGTCTGTCATGAATAAATAAAAATAAAAATAAATCTAAAAAAAAAAGAAAGTTCATATAAGCCATTCAGATTAAATAGTGATGGAAAGAAGCAAGAGAAAACAGCAAGAGAGATAGAGAGATCCACCTTCCACCTTCAGAAGCCTTCCAGTTCTGTGTGTCAGGAAATGACATAAAATCTTCCCTCTTTTTACAGAAGTATGAAAAGATATCTGTCCTTCATTTGAAAGCCTCCAACGGATCCAAGTGTTGCTGCAGAGGAAGGGGCCACTTGTGTGCAGCACCTCGAAGTGCCAGTCCTCACTCCTAATTTCAACCAGAGCTACAAATCATTAACCAGAATAAAAGATGTCCATATTCACAATTGATGGGCCTCCCATCCTCTTCTTAAAGGAAAGGGCACAGGAAAACAATATGTTGCTCTCCAGATGTTCTTAAGATCATTTTCAAGTCAAGAAATAATGGAAATATTACTTCCCATTCTGGATTAAGACCATGGACCAGCCAGTCTCATCCAGAAGCTCTGACACGTGGGCCCTCCCTTGACCAAGAGCCCAGGCCAGAAGGTCTCCTGCCTTCCCTATGAGCTCCTGTTTTTCCATGAGGCAGGTTGGTTTTAAATCCCATCCCCACTCCTTAGTGATCATTAGCAAATTACTTAAACTTGTTTAGTCCCAAAAACTTTATGTGTAAAATAAAGATGTTAATGTCTACCTCCTAGGGTTGTTTGGAGACCAACTTGGAACACTGTGGGCCAAATGCACTGACTGCATGGGGCCAGGCACAGAGCTGGCAGTGAGGACATTAGTTGCTCCCCCTCTTTCCACCTTTTCCCTAAATTTCCTGGAACATGAAGGAAATGATTGACCAGGAGTGACATAGAAGAATTACATTCTAAAAAAATTCTGAATGCTTTTCTTCCAACAAGACACATGATTCATGAGCTTTGAGTAGCTAGGACATCCACAAACTCATTAATTTCTAATGTGCAATTTCTACAGAGTCATTTGGAGGATTTCTTTATGTTCCATGAGTCTACTATTAATAGGAGATAAAAAGATTTTCTACTGAGCCCCTAACAGATACTTTAAAACATTCAAGACCCTTCATTGAGCATTTACTATGTGACAGGTAGGATATGAATCACGAGCATTTCACAGGTGAGCTAATGGAGGTCTGTAGAGAAGTCTCTTTTTGCCTTTTGCTTGGATGGTTACTGAGAGGTAAGATGTAACTCTTATCTTTCCTCCTCTATAGATAAGGCATTTTATTCCACTGACTTCTTTCAAGATTTTTTTCTGTATCTTTCAAGATTTTTTTCTGTAACTTGGATATAATGTACTTAAGTATAGTTTTTCTGGTGCTTATTCTTCTTGGTGTTCTTTAAACTTCCTGGATCTGTAGCTTGGTGTCTAATGTTAATTTGGGGAAATTCTCAATCATTGTTGCTTTAAATATTCTTTTTCCTTTCCTCTTTTTTCTGGTTATTCCATTACATGAATGTTACACTTTTTGTAATTATCCTACAGTGATTGGATGCTCTCTTCCCCTTTTCCCAGTTTTTTTTCTCTTTTTGCCTTTCAGTTTTGGAGATTGTAATGGACAGTCTTGAACTCAGATTTTTTCTCAGCCATGTCCTGTCTACTAGTATGCCCATCAAAGATATTCTTCATTTCCATTACAGTCTTTTTATCTCTAGCATTTATTTTTTTATTTTTTCTTAGAATTTTCATCTCTTTGCTTAGATTACCCACCTGTTCTTGCATGTTGGCTACTTTTTGCATTAGATCCCCTAGCATATAAAGCATAGTGGTTTTAAATTTGTGGTCTGATGATTCCAACATCCTTGCCATATCTGGGTCTGTTTCTGATGCTTTTTACCATACTAAAATGCCTTGTAATTTTTTGTAGAAGGCCAGACATAACTTACTTAGTAAAAGAAACTGTGATAAACAGGCCTTTCATAAGGTAGTAGTATGGTGTGAAAGAGAAAAGAATATCCTACAGACACACCTTGTGTTTTTGCACTTCACATTATGCACTTTGCAAACATTGCATTTTTTACAAATTGAAGTTTGTAGAAACCTTGTGTTGAGCAAATGTATTATCATCATTTTTCTAACAGCATTTGCTCATTTCCTGGTCTATCTTATTTTGGAATTCCTGAAATTCTTGCAGTATTTCAGACTCTTTCATTACTATTATATTTGTTATAGTGCTCTGTGATCAAGTGATCTTTGATGTTATTTTAATTGTTTTGGGGTGTCATAAACTGTGCCCATATATGACAGCAAATTTAATCATAAGTATCATGTATTTTTTTAGATTTTTTATTTATTTATTCATGAGAGACACACAGAGAGAAGCAGGGACATAGGCAGAGAGAGAAGCAGGCTCCATGCAGGGAGCCTGATATGGGACTTGTTTCCTGGACCTCAGGATAACGCCAGGGGCCAGAGACAGACGCTCAACTGCTGAGCCACCCAGGTGTCCAGTATCGTGTATTTTGACTGCTCTACCAACTGGCTGTTCCCCTGTCTCTCTCCCCTCAGGTCTCCCTGTTCCCTGAGACACAACAATATTGAAATTAGGCCAATTAATAACCCTACAATGGCCTCTAAATATTCAAGTGAGAGGAAGAGTCATGTTTCTCACTGTAAATCAAAAGCTAGAAATGATTAAGCTTAGTGAAGAAGGCATGTCAAAAGCTGAAACAGTCTGAAAACTAGGCCTCTAGTGACAAAGAGTTAGCCACGTTGTGAACACAAAAGAAAAGTTCTTGAAGCTTCCAAGACAGGCAGGAACTGAAAGAATATGTGACCTCCAAAACAGCTCTGCAAGAAATTTTAAGGGGGACTCTTAAAATTCCCCTTTAAGAAGAAGCTCAGTGGAACAATCCACAAAAACAAGGACTAAATAGATATCATGATGACACTAAACTCATATCTGTCAATAGTAACTCTGAACGTGAATGGGCTTAATGACCCCATCAAAAGGCGCAGGGTTTCAGACTGGGTAAAAAAGCAGGACCCATCTATTTGCTGTCTACAAGAGACTCATTTTAGACAGAAGGACACCTACAACCTGAAAATAAAAGGTTGGAGAACCATTTACCATTCAAATGGTTCTCAAAAGAAAGCAGGGGTAGCCATCCTTATATCAGATAAACTAAAATTTACCCCGAAGACAGTAGTGAGAGACGAAGAGGGACACTATATCATACTTAAAGGATCTATCCAGCAAGAGGACTTAACAATCCTCAATATATATGCCCCGAATGTGGGAGCTGCCAAATACTTAAACGAATTATTAACCAAAGTGAAGAAATACTTAGATAATAATACACTTATACTTGGTGACTTCAATCTAGCTCTTTCTACCCTCGATAGGTCTTCTAAGCACAACATCTCCAAAGAAACGAGAGCTTTAAATGATACACTGGACCAGATAGATTTCACAGATATCTACAGAACTTTACATCCAAACTCAACTGAATACACATTCTTCTCAAGTGCACATGGAACTTTCTCCAGAATAGACCACATACTGGGTCACAAATTGGGTCTGAACCGATACCAAAAGATTGGGATCGTCCCTGCATATTCTCAGACCATAACGCCTTGAAATTAGAACTCAATCACAAGAAGAAGTTTGGAAGGACCTCAAACACGTGGAGGTTAAGGACCATCCTGCTAAAAGATAAAAGGGTCAACCAGGAAATTAAGGAAGAATTAAAAAGATTCATGGAAACTAATGAGAATGAAGATACAACTGTTCAAAATCTTTGGGATGCAGCAAAAGCAGTCCTGAGGGGGAAAATACATCGCAATACAAGCATCCATTCAAAAACTGGAAAGAACTCAAATACAAAAGCTAACCTTACACAAAAAGGAGCTAGAGAAGAAGCAGCAAATCGACCCGACGCCCAGCAGAAGAAGAGAGTTAATTAAAATTCGAGCAGAACTCAACGAAATTGAGACCAGAAGAACTGTGGAACAGATCAATAGAACCAGGAGTTGGTTCTTTGAAAGAATTAATAAGATAGATAAACCATTAGCCAACCTTATTAAAAAGAAGAGAGAGAAGACTCAAATTAATAAAATCATGAATGAGAAAGGAGAGATCACTACCAACACCAAGGGAATACAAACGATTTTAAAAACATATTATGAACAGCTCTACACCAATAAATTAGGCAATCTTGAAGAAATGGACGCATTCTGGGAAAGCCACAAACTACCAAAACTGGAGCAGGAAGAAATAGAAAACCTGAACAGGCCAATAACCAGGGAGGAAATTGAAGAAGTCATCAAAAACCTCCCAAGACACAAGAGTCCAGGGCCAGATGGCTTCCCAGGGGAATTCTATCAAACGTTTAAAGAAGAAATCATACCTATTCTACTAAAGCTGTTTGGAAAGATAGAAAGAGATGGTGTACTTCCAAATTCATTCTATGAGGCCAGCATCACCTTAATTCCAAAACCAGACAAAGACCCCACCAAAAAGGAGAATTATAGACCAATATCCCTAATGAACATGGATGCAAAAATTCTCAACAAGATACTAGCCAATAGGATCCAACAACACATTAAGAAAATTATTCACCATGACCAAGTAGGATTTATCCCTGGGACACAAGGCTGGTTCAACACTCGTAAAGCAATCAATGTGATTCATCATATCAGCAAGAGAAAAACCAAGAACCATATGATCCTCTCATTAGATGCAGAGAAAGCATTTGACAAAATACAGAATCCATTCCTGATCAAAACTTTTCAGAGTGTAGGGATTGAGGGAACTTTCCTCGACATCTTAAAAGCCATCTACGAAAAGCCCACAGCAAATATCATTCTCAATGGGGAAGCACTGGGAGACTTTCCCCTAAGATCAGGAACCAGACAGGGATGTCCACTCTCACCACTGCTATTCAACATAGTACTGGAAGTCCTAGCCTCAGCAATCAGACAACAAAAAGACATTAAAGGCATTCAAATTGGCAAAGAAGAAGTCAAACTCTCCCTCTTCGCCAATGACATGATACTCTACATAGAAAACCCAAAAGCCTCCACCCCAAGATTGCTAGAACTCATACAGCAATTTGGTAGCGTGGCAGGATACAAAATCAATGCCCAGAAATCAATGGAATTTCTATACACTAACAATGAGACTGAAGAAAGAGAAATTAAGGAGTCAATCCCATTTACAATTGCACCCAAAAGCATAAGATACCTAGGAATAAACCTAACCAAAGAGGTAAAGGATCTATACCCTCAAAACTACAGAACACTTCTGAAAGAAATTGAGGAAGACA